CTGCCTCTCCCTTACCCATCTGCCTCTCCCTTACCCATCTGCCTCTCCCTTACCTCTCTGTCTCTCCCTTACCCCTCTGCCTCTCCATAACACCCCTGCCTCTCCCTAATCCCCAGCCTCTCCCTAAACCCCCTGCCTCTCCCTTACCCCACCATATCTCCCTTACCCCTCTGCCTGTCCCTTACCCCTCTGCCTGTCCCTTACCCCTCTGCCTGTCCCTTACCCACCTGCCTCTCCCTTACCTCACCGTATCTCCCTTACCCCCCTGCCTCTCCCTAACCCCCCTTCCTCTCCCTAACCCCACTGCCTCTCCCTAACTCTCCTGCCTCTCCCTAACCCCCCTTGCCTCTCCCTAAACCCCCTGCCTCTCCCTTACCCTTCTGCCTCTCCCTTTCTCCTCTGCCTCTCCCTTACCCACCTGCATCTCCCTTACCCCACCATGTCTTCCTTACCCCCTGCCTCTCCCTTTCTCCCTGCCTCTCGCTTACTCAACGCCTTTCCTTCCCCGCCTCTCCTTTACCCACCACCTCGCCCTTACCTCTCTGACTCTCCCTTATCCTCTGCCCCTCCCTTACCCAACGCCTCTCCCTTACCCCTCTGCCCTGTCAGTCTCAGAAATCTGACTCTGGGATCCATCTGAATCAATGGCAGTCTCCCATAGTGCCGTTATCATATTGTGTCTGTCCGACAACCATCAAACTCTGCTGAGAGCTTAGCTCCCTTGAGTTGAGAAGTTAAAGGGATAATTAAATTCAGAGGATTAAGAGTCGATTAACGCTGTTAATTGAGAAACTCTTTTCTCTGATGGTATGGGGAGTTTGGCGTTGTTGGGGGTGAAGTGGTGGTGGGAGGAGAGCTGAGATATAATCCAGAACCAGCTTCTCATCGCTCAGTCTTATGGGGTGATATCCAGAAATGCTTCTTCACATAAAGAAATCTTTTCCAGGATGGGAACCTGTTCTAAATGTCAAAAAGGAGGTCTCTAAGTTTTTGGTTCACAAAGCTTATGAAGAGATCTCCAGAACCAAAGCGGGTTGGTAGAGTTAAGGTCGGTGACATGTTGGGTTTTGGAAGTTAGTTCTGCCTGCTCCAGAGGTGTGTAATAACATGGCACAAAGGGCTTTTGTAGTGTAGTGGTAGATTCCCTACCTCTGAACCTGGAGGCCTGGGTTCAATTTCACCTGGTCCAGTGATGTGTGATAATGTTTCTGAACAGGTTGATTAGAAAATATCTATAGATCAGCCATAATCGAATTGGAATGATGGAGAAAACTCAATGGGTTGAAGGGTAGCACGGTGGCTCAGTGGTTAGCACTGCTGCCTCACAGCGCCAGGGACCCAGGTTCGATTCCACCCTCAAGCGACCGTCTGTGTGGAGTTTGCACATTCTCCCCACGTCTGCGTGGGTTTCTTCCGGGTGCTCCGGTTTCCTCCCATAGTCACAAAGATGTGCAGGCTAGGTGGATTGGCCATGCTAAATTGCCCATAGTGTTCAGGGATATATGTGTTAAGTGGACTTGCCATGAGAGACGCAGGGTCAAAGGGATAGGATGTGGAGGTGGGGGTGGTGAGTCTGGGTTGGCTGCTCTTCAGGGGGTCAGTGTGAACTAAATGGTCTGAGTGGCCTGCTTCCACACTGTAGGCATTCTATCATCCTAGTAGGAAGGCGTCAGGTTTAAATCCTGCTTTGTGCTTCAGTTCAGCTGGCAAATGCACTAGAACCTCAAGTTTAAGCCATGCCCCCTTGGCACTCAAAGGTAGAAAGCAGCTACTGATCACTGTCTCATTGTAACTGTTGGAAGAGTGTGTGTGAGTACGCACCAGCGACAAGATTGGGCTCACCAGTGATGCCTTACACAGTCAAACAGCAATCATTGGTTCAGACATGAAGTATAGTCAGTTGAGTTTGGGTAACAGAAATGAATGAAGAGAAAAATTTAGTTTGATACTGTACGTGAGCTCAGGATGTTTTACAATGTTTACAGCCTCTGAAATACTTCTAAAGTGCAAAGCTGTAAGGAAAGTGCACAGCAAGCTCCCACAAACAGCTAAACAGTAATGACCAATTCATGTGTTTTATAAACTGAGGCTGACTGAGAGATAAATATTATTCAGCACTCCAGGGATAATGCTCTGCTCTTCTTCACAATCGTGCAGTGAGATATGTTTGCATCCACCGGGCAGCAGCTCACTTTAAGGCTATATGTTAGAAATCTGTGACAGTGCAGCACTCCTTCAGTGTCAGCCTTGATCTTTCTGCTCAAGGCTCTGGAGTGGAATTTGATCCCACAAAGTCCTGCCTCCAAGACGAGAGTACCGCCAGGGGCTGATTAACTTCCAGCTTATTGCTGCTTGTACAGAGCAGCTCATCTAATCTTCTTGAGGTTCTAATATATTGCAAGAAACCACTTCCAACTGAGCGCAAGTCTGACTGCTCTTTCTAATTCAGTATTCGCAATTTGAGACTGCTGTTGTTTTGGGCAGCATTTCTGAGGAGATAGCTTCTGTCTTGCAACACAAAACCAGACTTTTCTCAGGAGCTGCCTGATCCATCCTTCTTTCCCTGCCTTAGAATTTTGATGCTTTTTGATTTGATTTGGTTTTGATTTTATTTGAATTATTATTGTCACATGTACCTAGGTGCAGTGAAAATTTTTGTTTTGTGTGCAGTGCAGGCAGATAATACCATACAACGTGCATTACAGTAATAGAACAGCAAAGAATACAGTTACAGCTGCAGAGAAGGTGCTCAAAGAGCAAGAGTCATAGAGATGTGGACATTTGCTGGCTGGGCCAGTCCCTAATTCCCATGAGAAGTTGATAGTGAGCTGCCTTCTTGACCCGCTGCCATCCTTGGAATATAGGGACACCCACAATGCCCTTGAGGAGGGATTCCAGGATTTTGACCCAATGACAGTAAAGGAACAGCAATATATTTTGGCAAGGATGGAAATGGTCACGGTTTTGGAAGGTGCTGTCTGAGGAGTTTTGGTGAAGATCTGCAGTCCATGTTGTAGATGGTACATGGTAGATGCTGCTACTGAACGTCATTGGACAGAGTGGATGTGATGAGAGTCAAGTGGGCTGTTTTGTCCTGCATTGTGTCAAGCTTCTTGAATATTGCTGAAACTGCACTCATCCAGGCACATAGGGAATATTCTAATACACTCCTGACTTGTGCCTTGTAGATAGTGGACAGGCTTTGGGGAGCCAGGATATATGTTACTCTCTGCAGTATTCCTTGCTTCTGACTCGCTACTATTATAGCCGCTGTATTTTTACGGTTTGTCCAGTTCAGTTATTGGTAAATGGTAACCCCCAGAATGTTTGATTCAGCAATTGTAATGCCATTGAATGTTGGT